ATCATGAGCCTCAGATTCCCTTCAATATCACCAAGCCTGGCTCCTGGGATCTTAACACCTCTAACAATAGAGGAGCCAATTACCAGCGCATCAGCGACTCCATCGGCTCTCTCAGCAGCTCTCTCAGCGGCTCTCTCAATGGGGCCTTCTTCCCCGCCCGGCCGCGCGGGGGCGCAGCCGGACAGAGCGTCCCAGCGATTGTAAATGCTAACAGGAGGAGGCCCAATGGGGAAACTACCAACAACACGTCGCCCTCTCCGAACAGTCACAAAGCCATCACTATCCTGGTCTTGTCCCAGCTGCGGAGGACGGGCTGGGAGGCTAGGCTCGCTAGTTCTCCTCTGCCTTTCCCTAAAGCTGCGCTCCGCTGTCCCTGAGGATACGGCCTGGCTGTAGCTAATGCTAGCGCTAGCTCGAGACTCCAGTGCTCGGAGACGCAGCTCTAACTCACTGACCCTGGATTCCAGAGCTACGACTACACTACACTTCACACATCTATCACTACCCTCAGAGAAGGATCCAGGGTTTAGACTCGCCATATGGCAACTCGAGCAGTAAAGGATTGAGGGAGAGACAGCAGCCGCCATAGTAGCGAGTTAGCGGCTAGGCTAGGCTAAGCTAGGCTAGGCTAAGCTAGTACGGATCCGGGCCCGCACAACAGACTCCGAGACCAGACAAACAACCGCTACCTAAACCTCAGCTACAGTACAGCTGACTCGGAGTGCTTACACAGTTAGCTTGGTGTACAATACGTGGATTTGTAATGTGTTTGTTAGTGCAAACAGAGAGCAGAGTGATAGCAGTCGAGAAACACGCTCACCGGATACAGGAAGTCACCATTATCCACAAGTACAACAACACACATAGGACAATGGTCTTTTCTCCACATGAACGTAAAACAAAGGTGAAGTATTAAAGTTTGAGACTAATTTACATTTTTAATGAATCCGACCTGGCTTTACTGAAAAAGAAAAAAGAAGGAAAAAACATTTTAAAGTAACAAGAGCTCATTAAAGATATAGGGGACACAATCTGTGATAAGCCCGAGTACAGACCACGTGGTAAACACTAAAGTTGGAAATGGATCTTTTAGGAAAAATCTCTTAAAGCTCTGCATGTTCTGCAGGCTCTGAAAGTTGCAACAATAGAAATAGCTCATGAGACAATTGTAATTGGACATGGAAAAATATAACAAAGTTAAAATTACAGGCCTTCTGTGTGTTATATGTTTGTGTATGTTATATGTTTGTGCGTCATGTCAAGTACACTACGTTGACCTTAACAAACTGGACCAATACTAACGTGGGGAGTCGGCCTGTGTGAGTGTGATGTGAAATGAGGAGTGAATGAGGAGTGCTGAACGGAGAATGGAATAACAAATGTCTTTCTGTAATGTTTTAATGTGATCATGGAATAATTATTTTTTGTCAACAGCATACGGTGTAAGTACTAGAGATTCAAAGATAACAAGCTTTATTGAACAGGTGTAAAAGTGAGAGTACTCTGGGATGAGTACTCTGAGAAAAGTACTCTGCGGAAAGTACTCTGAGATGAATACCTTGCTGAAGGTACTGGGAGCCCCCCTCTGCTGTTTGTCCTGACAGTGATTCGGTCCAACCGCAGTGAGCGGTCATTGGGCGGAGGACAACTTTGGTTTGTAACTCACATTTAGGGGAGTATAAAATTAGAAACATACATATTGTTAAGTCTGTATTTGGCTACAGCCTCTGCCCTGATGTCACACACCGTCTGTCAATGCAGTTATGTTTTGCCTAATTGGAAAAGATTGACAGGCCGCTAAAAGCCAGGGAAGTGGGCATTTTTGTGTTCTAATGTTTCTTTTTCAGATGACAGATAAACTACCCCTGCTTCAGGGATGACAGTAGTATGGATCATGAGGAAATGAGCCTCTACTATGGCACCAAAGCCCACAATATGAATTGAGGACGATCCGGGAGGAACAACTGGAGATGATTGGAACAGTAAATCTACACACACACACAGATGCATGTTTTATACTTGGCCCATGACCAAGAGAGGGAGTATGGTAATGTTATTGTCATAGGTGGTCATGGTCCTTAACCTTCTAAATCATTAGAAAGAAGTGTAAAACATATATTTACAAGAACAAATAAATAATAGAAAGGGCAGCCTAAAAAAGCAAAATGGGAAAATTATTAAGTAATTTTCGGAGTTGCCAAAATGAAATAAAATTCTATATTTGTCCCATAGGGGGTCATTCTAAATTTAGTGTTGTGCAAATTCAAAAGGAGAAATAATAGCGCTTATAACATCAAACAGATCTACTCTTTAAGATAATAGATCATACAATAATAATAATAGAATAGAATGAAATAGTCTGGAGCTATAATGTCATTGGATTTGAGGAGCTATAGGTTGAAAAGTCGCTAAGAAGAGGTGTCAGAATAAACAATAGTAATAATAGTTAGACTAGTGAATAATCATCCCATCCATCCATCCATTTTCTTCCCCTTAATCCATTTCTGGGTCGGGGGGGGTGGCAGTCAGAGCTGCACCCAGTACACAGAGCACCGGCCCCTCACTGATCCTCCTGCAGGTGGTGAGTCCACCGGAGTGAATAATCAAAATAGTTCTATTGTGGAAATAAGTATCAATAAGGTCAAATTGTTCTAATAACTAAAGTAAAAAGGAATCAAATGGAGTCAGATTTTAGATGTTTCTGTTTTCCACATCTGTAGGAACTAGTGCAGATGTGTTTATAGAGAGTAGTATTAAAATGCAGACATAGAACGACAGGCTTTAACAAAATTTTAAATCTAAAAATAGCTCAAATATAACATTGCTCTTGATGCAGCCTCTGAGCTGCTCCATTGGAGAACAGGTTAAATGTTATTGTTTATTACAAACAGCTGATGTATTCACACATATTAAGTTTGGGACAACTCTTTAAACAGCTATAAGCAGCGGACAGAAGCCATGAATGTGCTTTTGTTTATTAAATAATTAATTTCATAGCCATATAATCGTAGAGAACGTTTTAAAATAGTTCTCTTCCTCCCGCTCCCTTTCAGGCAACTTGATTTAGATTTATGTCTTTAATATTGGAGAACGACTGTGTTGTTTTTGGAATTGTCTGAAATACAACACATAAAAATAGTGATTTGCAGAACAAGAACCAGCCAATGAAAAATCGTCTATTGCCAATGCAATTGTTACAATTAGAACCACAACTATGACCAAATGCAATAAATGTTAAGGGTTCAGTCTGGGGGGACTGAACAACTGGTAAAATGGTTTAAAATGATAAAGTATGAGTATTTTAGTGTTTTAGTAGATGTTAAATAGTAGGAAAAAGTAGAATTTGATCATTGGTCATAAACAAACTTCGGAGTAAGAGTTAAAATGGTACCATACATTGTGATCCTTCTGATAGAGAAGCTAGATAGAGTTAGAATCAGAATTATTTACAGCCATTGAAAGTGATAGAACTCACAAATTGGGAATATGCTTTGGCTCAAGCTACAGCCGAGCTTTGGGAAAAAATAGCGTAAAACTAGAAATAGATAAATGCATCAACCATAGAGGCTTTCAAAAATAGAGATTATTTTTAGCCAAGGCTAATAGCAAACGGTAAAAGGACAATTTCCTTCATAATATGTCCAAAGTATTTACTTCAAAAGTAGATAAAGTTCATACTTGTCAAATTCACTTGTTTCAAACATAGGTGAATGTTGACAATGCAAAAAGTTAATGAAATAGATTAATGAGATAGATTAGAACCAACACAGATTCAAAAACATTTGAAAGCAAACCACAGTATAGATAGATTTATTAGATAAAAACATATGTTTAAGAATAGGGCTCAATAAAAGCAAAATATGCAAACATATTTGTAAATAGATTAGAATAGTTTAAACTATAGTGAATAGTTTTAGTGCATACATTACAGACGAGGTTGAAGAAGAATCAGAATGACAGCAGTGGTCATCAAAGAGTTTAGTGAAGGAATGTTTCGAATGTGGTTGTGTGTTGTTTGTTTTCTCTGTATTAACTCTTCACAGATATCAAGCCGGAACTAAGCACAAGTATTGATGATAAACGACGATGTGGATTGTGACCTAATTTTTAATCAGGTCAAAAGAGGGAAACTGTTGTATTTATAAATACGTGACATTCTAAAACCATGTGTTTTATGACCTAGCTAACCTCTAAGTGGGAGGCCAGTCCTTCTTATTTTATTTTAGGTGTCTTCTTGTGCCAGCAACTGGACAACAGATGGATTCTCCTGTTTGGATTTCAACCCCCTAGTCTTGGCCTGCTGACTTCTGCACTTTTCAACCTCACTCCATCAGGAGTCTGGCAGACGGAGGAAAAGGCTGGACCCTAGACCGGAAACTGGCTGATAGGACACTCCCCTCCTTCCTGTTCTTTATATATGCTCTGGCTTGGGGAGACACAGCAGGATGAGACGAGGGCCAGAGAGGGACATGGATTAGCTTTTAAGAGCTCTCTTTTGTTGAATATTCTGTATCTGATTGTAAAGATAATTAAATGCAGATGTTAAACTTGGAGAATCTTTTTGTCTGATTTCTGTATCAAATTGTGGACACGTTGAGTCAAAAGGAATTATTGGCTACATGACTCATTTACTCTGTTTATCAGTGAGAACCATCTTTCCACATAAAATCTACACAAATCCTGGTTTGTATCTGTATCAGTAATAACATGTTCTCGGTCTCATGTCTCTGTAGAAAAGAACGAAAAGTTGGAGAATAGAGAATCGCCTTTTTTTAAAGATTTTTTTTTTTTTTTTAGATCAAAGTCACAAATGCAAACCACTAAAAAGCGATTCAAGCAATTCACTCAAAAATAGCAAAACAAAGATCGACTTTTCGAATGTGGAAAGATGCCCGCTGAACGACGAATAAAGGTTCATCTTACAAAGCTCCATCACTTCTTTACTTGCACAGAACTCATTTATATTTGACTGAGAGAAACTACTAGAAAAATATGAACAAATGAAGGGAACAGACGACAACAGAAGCTTCTCCACCGAGGTCATGCACAGCGCTGCCTTCTCTCTGTCTCAGAGCGAGCCGTCCACGTGTCGTCTAAACTCTAGACAGATCTATTCTCCGTCAGTGACAACAAACCTTGAGGAAACGAGAAACTAAAGCAGAGACAACGTTGTGTATGTAGCTTAAAGAAGACATTATGCATTAGATTTGGTCATAACGATGATAGATAACTGTCAGTTCATGTTCATTCAAACCAACCGAATTCAGAGAAATTCCCCCAAAAGGTGAGTTTACTTCAAGGGTTTTACGGTCACTCACTTACTTCTTGATAATGCTAAAGTCTTATTTTTTTAACCTACTTATCTTTATTATGCAAAAGTAGTAGATATTATACTTAGTTCTTTATTAGAATGGAATAAGGGATTTTATTTTATTTTAGTATAGAGTTATTTTACTTTTGAATGCTCCGGAAACAGCAGCGAGTCCTAAGTCTCTCTGAAACACTTTTTGTTTTGTGTTTTACCCATAGACTGTAAATATTAACGGACGTAGTCACGCCTATCTCCGCCGTTCTAACTAATGGGCCAAAAATTGGGCTTTCATAGAGTGATTCAAAATGGCCGCGGGGGCTGGAAAATGTGAAAAAACACATCTGCGCATGCATCAGCCGGCACGAGCCACATTCATTTGAACGAGTGACTTCAAAAATTCACAGCGAGTAAACTAGAGTGGTCCAAAAAAATTCACCCCTCTCAGCATTGACACACATGTGGAACGGAGCTTTGGGCCAAGAGCCAACTTTTGGACCATCCTGTAAAGACGTTTTCGAGAGGTAAGAGGATGCTATATGTTAGCATTGGCTAATTCTTCTTCTGGGTCCACCCCCGTCGGCCCGGGGTGGTATTGCAAGCATGTCAGCGCACATCATTTTGGCCACTTTTGAGCCGGGACCCGCCCCCACTGGTTTTACCACCGTTATTTGTACTGCTTTTTTCTCTCTGTAAATGTTAGTGCAGAAAAGTATTCATGGTTTTACACTGATCCAGACCAGAGCAGAAAAAATGATACGAACCAAGCAGACTCTGCAAACATCCTCCAGAGGAAGCAGCTCATCACCAGCGGCTACACCACCTCACTTTTATAACTATGTATGTATTTGTTTGTTTGGATGGATGTGTTTCTGCTGCTGGACACCTGCGTTTCTCTATGATCATTTATCTTGTGTGTGCTCCTCATTCCACCTGTAACTGGTGACGCAACACTGACATTGTCACACTTTTCTCTTTACGTTCTTGCTTTGTACAGAGGATCCACAACAGAACAATAATGTAACTTTATTCAAAGTATGAGTAAAAGTATTTGTCTGTCTCTGGCCGCTTCAGAAGGACCCAGATGGACATTTGGATTCTAACATTAGCCATTTGCATAAATCTGTCTTTTTTCATCACATTTTAATAGTTTTATTTTCTGCTTTTGGCAAATCAACAATTTTGTGAAGTCCTTCGAGGCGACCGCAGTTTCATTTTTCTGTACAGATAAATAGATGTTATTTTCTTTCAAGTGAGAAAGCGCTTGTTAATAAATAAAGCATTTTCAAAGTTTACTTCATTTGTTATTACAGTAAATACCAAAGTCACAGTTAGTGCTAAAGTTATCAAGAATGGTTGAACAAAACAATCACACAAAGAAAAGATTATCTCAGAACATTCAACATAGAGAAAAAAGAAGCCAAACAACTGTTTTTAATCTGGATTTGTTTCACATTTTCAGGAAGACTGTTCCAGGAGCACAGGGTTGGTTCAGAGTGTGTGTGTGTGCGTGTGCGTGTGCGTGTGCGCGTGCGTGTGTGTGCGTGCGTGCGTGCGTGCGTGCGTGCGTGCGTGCGTGGCTGATGGCACAGACTGGTTGCCTCGCTTCACTCAGTGTGCCCCAGGGCAGCTGTGGCTACAGTAGATTATTATCATTGTGTTTGAAGTGAAAGGACGTTTGGTGGTGTCCTGGTGGAGGAGAGGGCTGAGTGTGAGAAGCATCAAAGTGAGCAGAGAGAGCAGGTTTCACATCCGAATACTCAGGGCCCAGGAATACAGCCTGCACTGCAAAAACATGATCAAATATGAGGTACGAAATGCTTGATATGAGTGTTTTTATTTTAATATTAGCTCAATCTGACTGTGTTAAAACCAGGCTCACCAATCTACCATTTAGTCTTATTCCAAGAACTGTTGTGTGATCCGGCATGTGGGAGAGGACATGTTTTGTTTTAGTTTGCAGTGGTGTTTTTATATGCATGGGTGTTTTAACATTTTAGTCCTGCTCCAGCTGGAGACATGCCGCAGAGCCCCATGGACGCACCTGCGCTTGATGAGGGAGCAGGGAATATAAGGGCAGGTGAAACGGACAGAGGGGGCGCAGGGCAACGGAACGGAACGGAAAACGGAACAGTAAACAAGAGCCACTGAGGACAACGCGTTGGAGACCACGGCTCTACAAGACCGGACCGAGCAGTGACCCAGGCTGCACCAGCGAGCCCTATCCACGCAGCGGCAGAGCGAGAAAGCTCTGCCTTGTCTGTGAGTAACGCTCTGTGGATTAGCTGGTGCAACCAGGAGAGCCTCAGGCCCCAGCAGCTGGCGAAGCTGTTTGTACTGTGTACTGGCTCTGCTCTTGTGTCTAGAGCGTGGTGGAGAGGGGAGCGGCGGTCCGAGGAGGCACCTGACCCGGGGAAGAGCACCGTGACGTTGACTACACGCAGCGGCAGGGTGAATCCCTGCCGTGCCTGTAAGTACCTCTAGTCGTTGTAGCGGTGCTATAAGATCATTTTGTGGGGTCTCTTGCTTGTGTGTTCGGCTGTGTGGTGCTGCCGTTTCGTCCTTGTGCCCAGGGGCGGAGCTGGACCGCAAGCAGGAGACGGTGCCTGACTCTCGAGGGACGCAGCGGCAGGGTGGATCCCTGCCGTGTGTGTAAGTGCCCGCCCGTTGTCCCTCGTTAAAATTCAAAACGTGGAGGATAGTTCCTGCCGGCCTTTGTTTTTGTGCACAGGTCTCCCTGAAGAGGCCCCCCCCCCCCCCCCCCCTGCGCTCGGGACCTTTTTATCACCTTTTAAAGACTTTTTATCCCTGTTTTAATTTATTGTAATAAATTATTTTGTTTTTAACAGTTTGCTCTGTCCTCTTTTGGTCACACCACTGCTCTGCCCATAACTGTTTTAATTCGGTCCACCACTCAATCGTTTCCTTACCTCCAATAATCAAAACCCCCCCTCATTACATAATCTGGCGTTGCTGGCAGGATCCATTCCTAAAGAGCTGGTGTGTCCAAAAAAGAGCAAACATGATGATGCCTGTATATCCTGGTGCTCCATGGCTCCCAAAATTTAAAGGGCCAGATGGTGATTTAAAATATGGTGATTGGAAAGAGCAAATCAAAGGACTTTTGGGTTCCCAGGACTTACCAGAGGCAAGGAAAGTTGGTATTTTATTGGGAGCACTAGCAGAGGAGGCAAAGCGACAAGTTGCAGTTTTAGATGCGGACGAAAAGGACCAGGTGGCAAAAATATTTGTCTACTTGGATTCTTTATATGGTGACCGAACTCCTATACCGGTTTTGAGGGCACAATTTTTTAGCTGTACTCAGAAGGCCGAAGAAACTGTTCAAAGTTTTATCTTGCGACTGCGTGAATTGTATTGTAGGCTCAAACGCTTAGATCGCGAAGACTCCCCCTCTGAAAGTGCCTTGCGAGACCAGCTGCTGCTGGGGCTCCGTGATGGCCCCCTTTCCCAAGCCCTGAAAGTTTTTGCTCGTCGGAACCCGGAGTTGGAATTTTCAGACCTTCGCCAAGAGGCTGTGCTGTTGGCGTCGGAGTATGGCCGAGCTGAACCAGAGGTAACATGCTCCGTAATATCTAAACAATACACTTCTCCTAGACTGCCCCAGGAACCCAATTGGAAGGAGCAATTGAAGCGTGAAATCATGGAGGACGTCAAAATGCAAATGAAGGGAATAACACAAGAAATAGTGGCAGAGCTCAAGCCGCTGCTGCAGACTGCTTCTCCACAACCCAGCCCACCTAATCCAACCAGGACTAGGCAGTCCACACCCAGACCGTACAACGACCGAGATGCACAAGGTAGGCCCATTTGCAACCGGTGTAAGAAAGCAGGCCATATAGCTCGGTACTGTAGAGGCGTTGTAACCCCTGAACCAGCTTTAAACTAGAGACTCCTGCCGCTGAGGTCCGCGCAGCAGGTTTAGATGGCCAGTTTTTGCCAACCAGGGCCACAGAAACGTTTGTTGGTCAGTGTCCTAAGGTACAGTTAAGAGTCGAGGGTGTACAGTTGGAGGGGCTGTTAGACACTGGGTCTCAGGTAACACTGATGGCGGAAAGCATTTTTAATGAGCACTTCACCCAAGCTAAGCTGGGAAAGGCCCCTACGTTGTTTAGGCTTAGAGCGGCAAATGGGCTAGAGATACCATACACTGGCTATGCAGTGCTTGACCTAGAGGTTGAGGGGGTCAAAGTCCCTGAGCGAGGGGTGGTGATTGTAGAGGATGTGAAGTGCACGCACCCATTCATTGTAGGCATGAATGTTATCATGGCCTGTTGGGACACACTATTTAAATGCCCTGCCACGTCGTCTCGACTGCCCCAGTTTAAAACCCAGAAAGTGTGGAGAGATGCATTTGCCACTTGCCGCCATATTGAAGTTTCCCCTGCAGAAGACGGGCTGGTTGGTTTTGTTAGATTGGCTGCAAAAGGCAAAGTTGTTGTCCCTCCAGAGAGTGAGATGGTGGTGTGGGGCCGCACAAAGAGGAATCCAGTCGGAATAGGACATTGTGCCCTTGTGGAGCCGCTGCTTGATGTGGGCGCCAGTGATGTTGGGGTTGCAAGAGCTCTGGTTGAAGTTAAACAAGGTAGAGTGCCAGTGCGTGTTTGTAATCCACACCCCTATAACATTACCCTAGGGCGGTTCAGTAAATTAGGCCGACTGTATCACATTGAGGAAGCGGATGTGCAGGGCCCCCATAGTTTGTCCCTCTCCCTGGAGGACGACGGGGTTGTAGTAGTCACCAGAGTAGAGGTTGGTGCAGCTTCCCCTAGCCGCCCAGGACAATCTGAAGGGACTAGCATGTTGAGAAACAGACCTGACCTTTCTGACCAACAGCAGAGGGAGCTAAAGGCCCTGCTGCAGAAGTGGGAACAAGTTTTTTCACAGCACGAGGAGGATTTTGGTCGGACTAACCTAGTGCAGCATCAGATTCTTACAGGCGATGCTGCCCCCATTCGGGAAAGGTACCGGCCAATCCCACCCATGCTGTACAAAGAGGTGAAGACCCTCCTCTCGGGTATGTTAGAGAAAGGTGTTGTTAAAGAGAGTTGTAGCTCTTGGGCGGCTCCGATAGTATTGGTGCGTAAAAAAGACGACAGCTGGCGCTTTTGTGTTGACTATCGGAAGCTGAACTCTGTAACCCACAAGGACGCTTTTCCACTGCCCAGAATAGAGGAAACACTGACCAGTCTTAGTCAGTCGGAATGGTTCTCTACTTTAGACCTTGCCAGTGGCTACTGGCAAGTCGAAATGCACCCGGATGACCAAGAAAAAACTGCTTTTACCACGCCACTGGGACTATACGAATTTGTGCGTATGCCGTTTGGACTTTGCAATGCACCAGCAACGTTCCAGCGACTAATGCAGCAGTGTCTAAATGGCCAAATAGCGGAGTCGCTACTGGTGTATTTGGACGACATCATAATTTACTCTCCAAACTTTTCTTCCCACCTCCAGCATCTTGATCAGGTGTTCGAGAGACTGTGGCGCCATGGGCTGAAACTGCGTCCAGATAAATGTAAGCTTCTACAGAGGGAGGTGACATTTCTTGGACATGTGGTGGACAAGCATGGTGTGCGACCCGACCCTGGAAAGATTGAGGCAGTGATGGAGTGGCCAGTCCCAACAACTATTAAACAGGTTAGAGCGTTCCTCGGTCTAGCAGGGTACTACAGACGTTTTGTAGCTGGATTTGCAAAAATTGCAAGACCCCTTAACAGGCTCCTCACGGGGATTCCAGCTGATAAAAGGTCACAATCTAGAAAGGTGGTATGGACCCCAGAGTGTCAGACCTCCTTTGATGCCCTGAAATCTGCCCTCACACAGGCCCCAGTCCTTGCCTATGCGCAATACGATAAACCTTTTATCGTATACACAGACGCAAGCAACCAGGGACTTGGCGCAGTGTTATCACAGCTGCAAAATGGACATGAACGTGTGATTGCATACGCTAGCAGAAGCCTACACCCCACTGAACAGAATGATGCTAACTATAGCTCCTTTAAAATCGAACTCCTAGCCCTTAAGTGGGCCGTGACTGAAAAATTTAAAGACTTTCTTACAGGAGCGGAGGTCATCATATACACCAACAATAACCCTTTGGCCCACCTACAAACAGCGCACCTCGGAGCAGTGGAGCAACGCTGGGTGGCACGGCTTGCTTCATTTAACTACACTGTAAAGTATCGCTCAGGTAAAAGTAACACCAATGCTGATGCACTGTCCAGATTCCCTGTCCCTGTGAGGCACGTGCCTGGACCAACTACAGGCGCTGTCGAGGTCATACCCGATGTCGAGTGGAAGACGGACCAACTCTCTGACCCAGATATCCGGCTGGTCAAGGAGCTAGTCGCCAGGGGAAACTTCCCTAATTGCTCAGATCGCCTGGCACTCCCCATTAAAAGTCAAAAGCTCCTGAAGCAGTGGAAAAGGTTGTTGGTGAAGGACAATGTACTGTATCGCAGTTTTGTCGATGGGCTAACTCACGAGGAGCACCATCAGGTTGTGTGTCCGAGTTCCAGGTGTAACGAGGTCTGGAGAAGGACTCACGAGGCTGGTGCACATGCTGGAGCTGACAAGACCCTGGCCCGGATTCGGCAGCAGTTTTACTGGCCTGGCATGGAGGGGGAGGTACGCAAGCTACAGGAAGAATGTGTTGTGTGTTGCCTGCAGAAAAGCCGCATTGAGCCTAGAGCGCCCCTTCACCCAATTGCAGCTACCTATCCGCTTGAAGTTATTGGGTTAGACTTTTTGACTTTAGGTCGACCCACCGATACATACCAGAACATCCTCGTTGCTACTGACCTGTTCACCCGTTTTGCGTGGGCCATAGCTACCACCGATCAGTCCGCACAAACCACTGTAAAGATGCTTTGGAAGCATATTATACAGCAGTTTGGCTGTCCAGCGCGCTTTCATTCTGACCGTGGTCCCAATTTTGAGTCTGCCCTAATCCAGCAACTCTGCGACATGTACGGCATAGCCAAAAGCCGCACAACCGCTTATCATCCCGCTGGTAATGGTAGTGTCGAACGGTTCAACCAAACGCTGTTGCACATGCTTCGTTCCCTGGAAGAGGAAAAGCAACGCTGTTGGCAGCACTATCTGCCTGAGTTGATCCACGCCTATAATAACACAATGCACAGTGCCACTGGCTATGCCCCCTCATTCTTAATGTTTGGTAGGCACCTTCGACTTCCTGTGGACGTCAGCTTGGTTAGAGCCTCCCAGACGCCTCATTTTGACCCCGAGGGATGGGTAAAGGACCACCGTCACAGACTTACTTTTGCTTACAACCTTGCGCGTCAAAGAGCAGCTAATTCGGCCTCCCATTACAAACAGCAGTTTGATAAAAGGGCTAAAGCTTTGCCTCTGGTACCTGGTGAACGTGTATGGCTGCGAAATAGACGCAGGGAGGGTAGGGGTAAGCTTGGGACTTGGTGGGATCCTACACCCCATGTAATTTTGGACTGTGTGGGGGATACGGGAGTTGTGTATAGAGTGCGTCCCGAGAAGGGTGGTCGAGAACAGACTGTACACCGGAATGCGCTGAAGGTATGCACGGCCCCTCCACTCGCATCGGAACCAACCCCGGTGCACAATGAACAATCCCCTCCAGCACAAGAATTCGATCTGCCAATTGTTTATGGATTTCCACCTGCAGCACCTGAGCCGCCACCCGTGGACCCTGAAAATGTACCCCGCCATTCTGTGCGTGTAAACTTTGGACAACCACCTGCCCGCTTTAGAGACTAGGTTGTGTGCAGTTGCAGGGACTGCCAACGACAAAGTGTGGGCATGTGGGAGAGGACATGTTTTGTTTTAGTTTGCAGTGGTGTTTTTATATGCATGGGTGTTTTAACATTTTAGTCCTGCTCCAGCTGGAGACATGCCGCAGAGCCCCATGGACGCTGTTGCCCAATCCTGTGCGCCACACAATTAGAGCACCTGCGCTTGATGAGGGAGCAGGGAATATAAGGGCAGGTGAAACGGACAGAGGGGGCGCAGGGCAATGGAACGGAACGGAAAACGGAACAGTAAACAAGAGCCACTGAGGACAACGCGTTGGAGACCACGGCTCTACAAGACCGGACCGAGCAGTGACCCAGGCTGCACCAGCGAGCCCTATCCACGCAGCGGCAGAGCGAGAAAGCTCTGCCTTGTCTGTGAGTAACGCTCTGTGGATTAGCTGGTGCAACCAGGAGAGCCTCAGGCCCCAGCAGCTGGCGAAGCTGTTTGTACTGTGTACTGGCTCTGCTCTTGTGTCTAGAGCGTGGTGGAGAGGGGAGCGGCGGTCCGAGGAGGCACCTGACCCGGGGAAGAGCACCGTGACGTTGACTACACGCAGCGGCAGGGTGAATCCCTGCCGTGCCTGTAAGTACCTCTAGTCGTTGTAGCGGTGCTATAAGATCATTTTGTGGGGTCTCTTGCTTGTGTGTTCGGCTGTGTGGTGCTGCCGTTTCGTCCTTGTGCCCAGGGGCGGAGTTGGACCGCAAGCAGGAGACGGTGCCTGACTCTCGAGGGACGCAGCGGCAGGGTGGATCCCTGCCGTGTGTGTAAGTGCCCGCCCGTTGTCCCTCGTTAAAATTCAAAACGTGGAGGATTGTTCCTGCCGGCCTTTGTTTTTGTGCACAGGTCTCCCTGAAGAGGGCCCCCCCCCCTGCGCTCGGGACCTTTTTATCACCTTTTAAAGACTTTTTATCCCTGTTTTAATTTATTGTAATAAATTATTTTGTTTTTAACAGTTTGCTCTGTCCTCTTTTGGTCACACCACTGCTCTGCCATAACTGTTTTAATTCGGTCCACCACTCAATCGTTTCCTTACCTCCAATAATCAAAACCCCCCCTCATTACAGTTGCTTTATTTCTTTATTCCAAGGGAGACATTTCTTGTATTTTTTAAACACAAAATAATTCTGCTTTATCCCACTGGCAAATGTTGTTTTAAAGGAAGTCTTTTTTTTCATCACTTTTTGCAGTGTAGGATAGTTTATGATAGTCTTGATGCTTTTGTCTGCAGGAGTAAGAACTTTTCCACATGATGTTCTGCTCTGATGGTCGACACTAACATTCATTAGCCTCGTGGAAGATGCAGAGTGTCCCTGTTTAGTCTTCTATAAAACCACATGCTGCAAAACTCTGTCGTTCACCAACAATAAAAGGTCTTCAGCCGAGACACGATCCTGGACCAGAAGGATCCTGTTTGATTCTCTGATGTGTCGGTGAATCGACAGCTTTGTAAAGTCCTCTGACACAACTACTGTTGTGACTCAGGGCAAAACAAGAATATATTAAATTTAATATGAGACATTAGTATCTTTGGTCCTTCCCTTCACATACTCCAAAGACCCCACAACCCTCGCCTGGCGCCCACCTTGTGCTCAGTTTCATTTCACTGCAGTTACGAGGGCGAAGGCTCTGAGAATCAGGAAGTACAATGGGCCAATCAGAGAGCAGAGGTGATGACGTTCATTTGCAGTTCAGCAGTAAACACAGCGGTGGAGATGGACGTAGCGTGAGGTGTATATTCTGGTTGGCATTTACGGATCTGGAACAGTCTTCCTGAAAATGTGAGACAGGCTTCTTCTACAATGTTCAAATCCAGGATAAAATAGTTCTGTTTAGCTGTGATACAACTGAAGGATTATATCTCTCTATTTTTATGATTATTTCTGTTTTTAATGCCTTGTGTGATTGATTCAAATTCGTTCAGCACTTTGAACCTTGTGTATGAACTACGCTATATGAAAAAACTTTCCTTGTCGGTACTGCCTGTGCTGTTATAATGGTACAATTTCAGAAAGTTTCCACAAAATGAGATGAGAGCAGCTGCAGTGTCAGGCTGCCACCGACTTAGAATGAGATGTGGCACCGTGGGTCAGAGACACTGATCTGAACACTTTCCCAGAGTAACGTGGAGCACAGGGACAAGGCTTCTATACTAAACAGAACAGAAGTGAACCATGAATGTGCAAGAAATATACACATTCAGTACCAAAAGTAAATGTTGCATACAACCTGAGGATTTTACATGCTAATGGGACATGCTAATTAAACATGTCTGCTTGTGGAGGCTCATGCTAATGTGAACAGCATTAGTTGGGGATTAACTAATTTGCAATAATATGGGCCATTTCCTCTGATGATCAGAGCTGAGCAGCAGTCTGATGGAACTGGGGCTTTTCAGAAAATCAGAATGTGTTTATAAGTGATGTGCCATTTTTACAGAGATCGTGTACAAAAAAAAAGGAAATGTAAAAAGGTATAGCAGTGTTTTTGATCCATTCAGGCGCGAACACATCAGTGTCGATAGAGACTTGCATAAAGTTTGCTATGTTTGGATAAAACGACTTAAAATCACACGTTACAGATGAAAGCTGAGAGCCCTGAACCCCGATTGTGAAAGTGGTTCAAAATTAATGTCCAACTGACTCCTGCAAAGAACCTGCCTCTAAATCCTGAGTTTGAGTTTGGAGCAAGTCCATGTGGAACTTGTAAGTCAACTAAACTAATGTGACCCAGACCCAGATATACTGAAGGCTTCTCTCTCCATCGATGAGGAGTGGGACCACCTACCCCACCTGAGGCTGCTCTCTTCATTCCAAATGAGGTGTGCGTTTTATTTAGACCAGGGTTTGGGTCAGGGCTGTCACACAGGTCCTGAAAGGGCAGGTATGGCTGCAGGTTTTAGCACAGACTCCATCCATCTCCTCAGGTCAAGGCTCAGCTGAGGAAGTGGGTGGAATATGCTTGGTCTGAACACCTTCAGCCACACCTGCCCTGTCTGGAACCTGTCACGTGGTGATTCATCTCACCCAAGGACCCAAAATGCAAGAATGCAAAAAAGTTAAGATTAATGATAAATAATCCAAAGTCCACGGAAAAACACAAAGTAACCAAACAGGGATTGAGGACAAGAACTGGACGTGGACAATGACGGAACAGGGAGTGAAGGACGACACAGGGTTTAAATACAAGACTGACAAGAGACAGGTGAGACACAGGTGAGACACATGAGACAAACGAGACACAGGCGAGACACATGAGACAAACGAGACACAGGCGAGACACAGACTAACGAGACACAGGTGAGACACACATGGGACTAACGAGACACATGAGACAAACGAGACACAGGCGAGACACATCAGACTAACGAGACACAGGTGAGACATGAGACTAACGAGACACAGGTGAGACACGAAACTAATGAGACACATGAGACAAACGAGACACAGGCGAGACACATCAGACTAACGAGACACAGGTGAGACACACAGAGACTAACAAGGCAGGTGAGAGGTGTCTGGGATTGATGAGGTACAACACATGTATGATGCCACAGATGCTGAGGTCAGAGGGGAGGCCAATCAAACAAAAATAGTTTGATTGTGTATGATTAATTAATTCACGTGTTTGATTATGAACATCACCAGTATTAATAACTAATATATCTTAAATTACAATTATCACACACACACACACACACACACACACACACACACACACACACACACACACACACACACACACACACACACACACACACACACACACACACACACACACACACACACACACACACACACACACACACACACACACACACACAATGAAATGTGTAATTAAATCTATATATAAGATGCAAGATGTAATTATTTATATTATATTATGTTATATTATATATTGTGACTCACAAACTTAATCAACTACACAAACCCACAAAGTTTGAGTGGAACCACTGCAGTACTTTATGATTCGCTCCATTTCCTGTGCTCCCGAGGCTTCAAACGTCATTAGTGACATCACTCACCTGAAACAACTCAGGCTTCGGCCCACGCTCTGCTATAAACTTCCGGCTCACGCCCAAAGCGCCAACACCGCACGACCCATCACTAGTCCAAAGGACGATGGCTTCTCCGTCATCGAACACATGGCTTTGGTCTTTCAGCGAGGACTTCAGGAAATGTGGGGTTAAGTGTCTTGTCCATGGACACAATGACAACAAACAGCAGTGGGAGCAGATGACTTGGGTCATGGTGGAATCAAACCCACAACCATTAGGTCCAAAGACCAGTGCAGAGCTACTGTCGCTCTGTGGTGACTGTGGCAAAGTATAAATACTGTATATCTCGTCTGTAAACCACAGTCAAATGGCATCAAGGAAAGCAGCAACTGCCAAATACCTCCAGAGAGTAAGGCAGGTCCTAAGAAGTGACTCAATGGCAAGAACAAGGCCCGGGCAATTAACAGCTACGCCCTGCAGGAATAATCAGGTGGCCAAAGGAAGAGATTCAGACCACAGATGCTAAAACTCCCAGGCCTCTGGTAGAGGACCAAGCTTAGAGAGGGATAATCAATCAATCAACATTCATTTCTACACAAGGCAACACAAAACGCCTCACAACCCAAATCACATCAAACAAATCATAAAAATTAAAATCTACATGAACAAAATACAGAAAAACATCACAAGTAGTTAAAAACCATAAAACATTAAAATCACAAACGGGATTACAAAAATAAATAGTCCCAGTGCATTAAAAGGATTAAATATAAAATCCTTCAGTTGTATTCACAGCTAAACAGAACTGTTTTAAACCTGGATTTCAAAACTGCCAGAGTAGACGCCAGCCTCACATTTTCAGACAGATTGTTCCAGATTATAGCTGCTTAAATCTGAAACGCTCACCAGCAGGAGGCCAGTCCCTGTGCTCCTCAGATTCCGAGCCGGTTCATATGTCACAGATGTACTTTGGTGCGAGTCCATGGAGAGACATGCAAAAAGCAGAGCTGCTTTAAAGTCTATTCTCTGAGCCACAGGAAGCAGAGACCAGAGAACTGGACTAATGGATCATACTTCCTGGTTCTGTCAGGACTTGAGCTGCAGCATTTTGGACATACTGCAGCTGATAACTGCCCGTGGCGGGCAAACAGTGAGTGTTTTTGTGTTTATTTTAATAAATATAAAATCATCCATGAGTAGTAAACAGGAACACACGCTTCAGTTTTATGTTGTACACTTTAATATTCTGATAATGTTTCACAGCCGCACTCCAGAAGGTAGACATTTTATATTTAATGAGTTGAAATCAACATGTTATTCTGATTCTAAAACAGCACATGACAAAGTAAATAGTCACATCATAATTGTGACCAAAAATGATCAAATGTTGTTACTTCTGATGATTTTGTTATTTTCCAACCTTGGATCTGCACCAGTTGTTATTGGCTCACTGTTGTTATTAGTTATGTTTTGTCCTGTTCTTTCTATCTTTCCAATAAGTCTGAAAACAAACCACTAGAGGAAACTCTTTAAAGGTGTCTCTAATAATCCTCATTTATTATGGCAAACTTCCAATTGGCACCTACTACCGATTCCCGCTGTCATGTGTGTAGCAGTATATAATATTATCTTCCACTGATGTGGCTTATAAAGACCGGATCGGAGACGGCGCTAAAGCTCAGTTTGTCCTGAGCCTCCAGGGCAGACATTAGAGTCTAATAAGACTGAACGGAGTCTGAAGAGAGAGAAGCTGATGTACTGCTGCCTTCTGGGC